ATATTATCAATCATTTGTGGCTCTTGTAGTTCGCACATACCGACTTCATCGCGTCCACACAATGCATCTTCTATTGGTGACAACTGTTCAACTCCGACATGCAGTTCGTGCTCTCCAGCATTATATTCATCTGCAATTACCCACAATGCTGCTTTTGTGTGAACAGACATAAACCATTGCAAATCCTCATCGTCGGCTACATCAGCTGGGGGTATATTCATGTTTGGAACTGTAAATTTCAATTGAATTCGGAACTTCATTCTATCAACAATCAGCTTCTCGAATAATTTATGTACAAGGTCTTCATATGTAATATCATGTCGAACAACAATTGATGTTGTTCGGTTCCCTAACCACTTCCACCTGTCGTCTATGTTGACAAATCTACCACCATACGAGACAACAAATCTCTTAACATCTTCCATAGCTGCATGTCATAAACAACAATACTGTCAACCACTAATGAAAATCGAAAACAAAAATGCTACCTGCATGCAATATGTGAATCACTATACACGAAATTTTCCCAACTTACTCAAATTTTTAATGTTATTGTCAACATTTAACAGTGTCGAGAATGATAGTATAAATATCATTCTCGACGTTTATAATCATTATTGACATTTATAAAATGTCGAGAATGAAATGACGGAATTTCATGCATTTATCATCTTCTTCAACTTCAACCACCATTTTTGCAAGAATTTATTCCACTATAAATAATATTCTAAATACAGAAATATATTATCTAACTAAGTTATTTAAGATGAATGGTACAAAAAATATATACTCAGGATAATTTCGTCCAAGGGAAAAAATACTTTATCAAAAAATTGAGATTTGAATATATATAACAACTACTAAATAAAACTTATCAAAAAAAAGAGAGTTCGAAAAAATAGAGTTCAAAAAAATATACCTTCTACCGACAAATGATGAAAGACTAATCAGCTTCAAATTTCTACCACAGTAAATTTCTTAAAATAATTTTTTTGAAGTTGGAATCATATACTTCTTCGTATATGTTAATGGAATTTTTGCTTCTTCTTCATTTGTTCTAGAATAATTGATTAAAATATAATTAAAAATATAAGCAAGTGGACTCACCTAGGTAATAGCAACATTATTGTGCCTTCTCGTGGAAGTTATTTGCTCTTCTTAAAAATTGTGCCAAAGTGATATAAAATTGATTAATCTTTTCATGAGGGTAAAGTAGACATTTTGATCTAAAAATTGGACATTTTTGCAAGGATTATTAAAAAAGTACACTTTTCAACTCAACCCTTATAATTGAACATTCTTGAAAATGCCTCTTTATTCAATCCTTTTATATATTTATCCACACAGATATTTGGTTTTTGGTGGTACAAATGTTATGGTAGATCCCCATTTTGCGTTCATATTAATAATAAAACAGAATAGTGAACTGGAGCGAATCTATATTATGTAATAAAGCCAATTGTAAACAAGATCGATCACAGGATTGTTTGAAGGTTGATGAGGGAGGGAAATTTTCATTTAGTTTCGGGCTCCGACCAAGACCCTATGTTTGAGTAAGGACGACACAGGTCTCTCACTGAAGTTGCAATCTTCCTCCTCGGCTTGGCTGTCTGTCTTGGTTGACTTTACGACCGAGCCAGGACTTGCCCCTATGGTTCATGAGAAGGAAAAAAGACTCATCTTTTATTGCAGGGGAATGACACCCCTATAATATCATGACTTAGCAACGGCCTCAAAGCTTTAGGGGGACCAAGAAATTTAATAAAGATGAGGTCGGTATAAAAGATTGAAAATATAGCAATGTTTGGTGGGGATTAAAATTAGATTTTTAGGAGATTTTGATAAAAAAAATTTGAAATGTGTGTTTGAAATGTTGTGGGATCCATTAAAAGTTTAGTTAATATTAATTGTTTCACTTTAATTTAGATTAAAATTAATACCATACAAGGGCATAATATTAACTCTTCGCGGAATTTTGTAAACTTCCTTTTAAACAATAGTTGGAACCTTTGAAAATTCTGTCAAAATCATATCTAGGAGACATTTGAGCAGGTCGTGCGATCTCTCTTCTCATTCTTCCTCTTGAAATTACTCACTACTAGTATGCAAAGCAAGAAGAACCCAGATTGAATTGTTATACACCATGTTTGGTTATTTCAAGGTAGCTGTTAAAATTAGACGTGTTTGGCTAAACTTAAAAGTCACTTTTAAATACATGATCATTTGGGATTAAAGAAGTACCTTTTCTTGATGTTGGGGAAGTGGGAGTAAGCTGATGAGAAGTAGGGACTGAAGAAAAGAAAACCCCATAGATCTCCACTCTCTTCTTCATCTTTTGGTACCTTTGTAGTCTGTAGATTATCACATACTGACGAGCGATAAATTTCTACTTAATTTTATATATGTCTATTTAAGTAATTTGCATAGGATAAAAAAATATAATAAAATTTTCTTTGTAGAAATGAATATATATAACGTTTATAAATGTAAATAGCGACTCCCTTTTTTATCAGAATTATATTATAAGTCATTTTTCTTGTTGAGAATTAATTTATTAGTTTTTTAGCATGTCTCTATTTAATGTGAGTTGTTATAAACAAATACAGACTATACTTATCTAAATTATTATTTAGCTCTTGTTTGATCTCCATTTTTTTCAAAATACATTTTTTTCAATTCTTTTTAACTACACATTTTTCAATAAAATAATATTATACGTAACTTCCAAACTTTTTTTATTACATTAAATAGAGTAAAATGTAGTCTAGTTACTAAAAATTGTGGTATGAATATATTTAATATTATATTAATTATACCTTTTTTTTATTTGTGTGGGGAAGCCGTTGTTTCAACTCCATTTTTCCATCAAAATACATTCTTCAATGGTGATTTAATATCATTTCAACTACAAATTTTTTAATAAAATAATATCACATGCAAATTCAAAATTTTTCTTTATTTTTTAACCACACATTATCTTTCGTAACACTGTTTTAAGATATATTTAAAAAAAAAAATGATGCTCAAACAACCCCGTATATCATTGTATCAATAATGTATGAATTTGAAGATTGCCATTGGACCGTTAAAAAAGTGGCACGCTTACCAAACATTTTGTAGTTTGTACGCTACGTCGCCAGCGCAAAGTTGCTATATATTCCCGTGGACGTTCTAATTTTTTTCTATATTCTCAGAAAAAAAAAATGGCAGACAAGCCAAGCAGATCACTGGTATTGTACGGAGACGGGTTGGCCCGTCTCGTAAACCCGACCCTTGACCATCTCCATTCTTTCGCTTCTCGGGCCTCTTGTGGCTTCTTGTCCCTCCCTCATGCCCCTTCTTCCGGTAAAATTTGATTCCATAGTTATGTATGTGTTTGTTTTTTAAATTATAGATGTGAATGCTTAGAATTTGCTATTTCTTATTAAGTGTATTTTAGCACTTTTTATAGAGTAGATGCAGTTGCCTTGCTTCCATAACTTTTGAAGCGAAATAAGTAACTGTTAAATGCCTAATTTATTGGTTAGAGGAAAGCTTATCGCTTAATACTGAAAGGGAAAAATGATTCTACGGTTTTGGTTCTTGCCACCATTTTTTTTTTCCGCAAGTTAACCAGGCATTTATCCTTTGAGTTCACTGAACCATGTGATGGAGAATTTTTGGAAGTGCTCAAAATTTGAAGTCTGTTAATGAGTATGTTGAGCCGAATTTTATCTAAAGATAAACAAAACTGGTGTCAAAAGCTGGATTAATTGAAAGTTTCCAAGTTTAGTTTGTTTACATCAATCATTCTGGGAACTTACTTTGTGATGGCTGAATCCTTGCGAGAGTCACTAAATAAAACTTAATTCTTTCATAAGAACTAAATGGGAACATGAAATAATTTTTTATTTTTCTTCAATAAGTAAATGAATTTTGGTTTTATCATGTAGCTGCGAAAAATGAAAGAAATAAAATAATTCCAACATAACAATTAAATTTGAAATTCAAAGTTGTCTTTTAAACACAACACAATTTATTAATCCTAGCCTCATTGCCACCTCCACGTTTACTGTCTCAAACCATCAGTTGCCGCCTAAAAGGGGGAATTATCATAGAGTGAGATTTATAAAATTTCAATAAGTACGCCATGAATTATTATTGTGTATAATTTAAAAGAGCAAAATAATCATAATCAGCATAATGGAGACATAAGAATATTACCGAACATAGGTGGTAAGTATGTTCGGTAAGAATTCTTATGGGTAGCGCTACTAAATTCCGATCCTCTTAACATAATCATAATCATACCATAGCATATGGGACCCATAATAATTTTCTTGGAATTCATAACATAACAATAATTCAACATAAGCAGCGTAGTTACAATTTGAATCAAAGAATAATAGAGACTTGATCTCTCTACAATTTTCACTTCGGCTTATGAATGTGTATGTGTATATTATTTGGACCAAAAATTATAATAGTGAGTAGTAGCATGTGAATTTGAATGAGGGGTTTAAATAGGACAAGATTAGGCATGCATCTTTAATGACAAATTTATGATGGTGGAAATTGATCCTTGAAATTTGTGAAATGAGCAAGAATCTCTCCATCATTCCTACATTTATGCATTCACATTACACATTACTTTATGTTTGATCAATCAAGCATAAATCAATAATTTTACCTTATGTTTGATCAATCAAGCATAAATCAAGAATTTTCTATGTAAGTGTTTGACCAAAAATTTAATCAAAAACACGTGGGAATTAGCACTTATGGTAAATTTTGCTACAAGTTCCTAGACGATGGATTAACCCTCAATGAGCCCGTAAATTTTCAATGTTGATAATTAGACCTAGAAATTTGGATGCGAGTATTATAATCTACCCCCCTAAAAATAAATTTCGTCCTCGAAATTTACCTTGAAATTTGTCGAAGAGTTGTGGGTACTATGCCTGCATCTCTACCTCTCTCTCTCACGTGACCTCTTCAGCCGAATGATTTTGCCATTGTACTTTCACTAGTGGGATCACTTTGTTCCAGAGGGCTTGAAATTTCTTATTAACAACTCTTCTTCATAGCTTAAACCTCTCTGTAATTCAATAGATTGATGGTTGACCACATGACTTGGATCGGGGACGTACTTTCTAAGCATTGACACATGGAAGACGTCATGTACACCTGAAAGTTCAGGAGGTAATGCTAATTGATATGCGATGTTCCCAATACGTTGCAAGATCTCAAATGGGCCAATAAACCTTAGTCGCAACTTATCCTTCTTGCTAAAACGTAGCACTCCTTTCATTGGTGTTACTTTGAGGAATACCTTATCACCAATTAAAAATTCCAGACTCTTTCTATCAGCATAACTCTTTTGTCTATTTTGAGCACTTTTCATGCTGGAGCGAATTTTTTCAATTACATGCACAGTCTACTCAATAATTTCTGGCCCCAAAATCTTTCGCT